AAAAGCAGTCTTATTAGTTCAAAAAGAGGAATAGCAGATTAGACACTGAGTTGTAACTAGAAGACACATAAATCTATATGAACACGCAAGATAAAATCCCTGTGTTTGACCAGGGTTTARCAGAAGTCTGCTGTGTGCCTTTTAAATACGTGATTTGAAAAATCYGCTGTTTCCAGAACCTAACAAATGTTCAATGACAGAAGAAGAAACTGAAGAAAAACGTTGTTTGCAATAAATAAAATAAAAACGGCCAAAGCTTGGCATAGTCTAAAATCAAAGTACTAATTTTCTGGGTATTAAATGCTCAGTGTATTTTTAAACACTTCTGTTCAGGAATTCTGACATATTTATCCAATTTTTAAACTCTTTMTAAAGATTGCAATTTCTATGTCATATCATGCAACACAGTTCTAGAAATATTCATATCTAAAATAGCTCTTAATCAAATWTTAAAGAGTAAAGAGCAACACATTCTCTAGTAACTGCACTGAACAAACTAGTGGCATTGCAGGATAACTTAGCCATGAATTCTAAATTTGTACAATCACCACACAATTTGAAAGACTAAGAACTGAGCTCTGAGCAGATGATGATGGAACAATRCACACCTGCAGCAAAAAGATGGAGATCTCTACTCTAGATGACAGCTCTAATAAATGTATGAGTTGTGAGAGAGTGCCAGTAACTGCTGATACTGCACAGGGCATTATATATTCATGCCATGTGAGGAAAAACTGACTAAGTCCTTGTGTCATAAATTATCTCATCTCCTACCTCTGGCACAGCTCAGGTCTTGGATTTCTTTAGCCTCTCTTTGCACGAGAACACCATAAACCAGCAGTAGGGTCCTTAAATCCTCAGGATGGATTTAAGAATTCTGTTAAAATGGGTTTTCCCAACTATTAATTTGTGCAATACTATCTTCCACACTCACAAACCATATTTTCAACGTTTTTCCTGCAACAGGGGAGTTCTGCTGAAGCATATTAAACTGCTTAGGGTTGTCTGGATGCTTCCTCTGTATGCTTCACTTCTACCASTCTGTCACAAATGTGATCAGACTATCTATCTTCTCCGGAAGGAACAGAGAGTAAATGTAATACCGGCCCAAAACAAATTGTAGTGGCTGTGCAATAGTAYCAATCAGGAGAGGATTGGATTCCTGGAGTCTCCTGGATTCCCTGCCTTGTATGTCCTCACTCAGGAGTAGCAGGAGATTAACAGTAGCAGACGGTCAGATTTTCACATGCATTGTGTGCCCTTACTCATACTGTGTTTTGTTACCAAGAGATGGGTGCATAAGAAGTTTTTTTTTTCAGTTTTTCTGATCAAAAAGTATTGATGGAATAACACAATCAAGAGTATGCAATAGGACCAGAGAGTTTGCATTTGCTTTAAAATTTTGGAAACTAAGAAAGTATAAATTTTGTTCAAACTTTATCACCCTTCAAAAAACTGAATTTCAAACTAGTTACGTAAAAGCACTAAGATGTTCAGTGTTTTAGAATTCTGTTTCTTTAACTAAGAAATAATAATATCTGCTTATGTTTTAAATTCCATGAAGTGATTTATTTGGACAAACACAGGAGGGAAAAAGTATTAAACACCATTAAAAAGTCCAAGAATGAGTCATCTGTTACAGATTGTATAGAGCCTCTGGAGCCTCTAAAGACCTGGGACACAACCAGCTGGCCCTCTTCCGTGAGAAAACAGCATATAGATGTTAGCAATGAGACAAGCAGTTCAAATCCCAGACAATGAATGTAAATAGGCTAAGAAGAGGCTAAAAGCATACTTTACTCAAGACAGAATCTCYTGGACAAAAAGAGAGTCAGAAGTATCTTTCTAAGATGGAACAACTCGTCCAGCACACAAGAAGAAACTGAGAGATGTTAATGCTTTATTAGTCAGCACACCATTTAGACAGAAAGCAGGGAGAGACGTGTGTTGTTGCTGTCTCCCTGTTATGGGTTAGGTCAGCCTGTTCTATATGGTACTTCTGACAGAGAAAGTTTAATGGGATGTCTTTGGCATACTTTGTCTGGACTGTGAGACAGCACCACTAGCTTAAAGCARCTTTACATTTTTTTAATAATCTTTTACATTCCTGATATCCTCTCCAAATACTTTTACAGATGTATTTGGTTTTTATGGCCAGGTTTTGACAGTGAGAGGGCTACAGGAGTGGCTTGTGAGAAGATGCCAGAAGCTTATTCCATGCACAGCAAAGTCAATGACAGCCAGCTCAAAGATAGACCTTGCACTGGCCAAGACTGGGCTAATCAGAAATGATGGCAACATCTCTGTGATAATATATTTAGGAAGGAAAAAAGTGATAGTGCACAGATATAATTATGGTCAGAGAAGAGCGGAGTGAGAGGAACAGCCCTGCAGACACCAGGGTCAATGCAGGAAGGACAGGAGGTGCTCCAGGTGCCGGAGCAGAGATCCCCCTGCAGCCCGAGGTGCAGCCCGTGGTGCAGCAGCTGTGCCCCTGCAGCCCATGCAGGTCCATGGGGATGCAGAGATCCCCCTGCAGCCCCTGCAGGAGCCCCACATGGAGCAGGAGGATGCCTGAGAGGAGGCTGTGAACCCATGGCAGGCCCGTGCTGGAGCAGGCTCCTGGCAGGGACCTGCAAATCTGTGCAGAGAGGAGCCCACGCTGGGCAGGGATCCTGGAAGGACTTGTGACTCCATGACAGGACCCACGCTGGAGCAGCCTGTCCTTGAAGGACTGCACCCCATGGAAGAGTGACCCATGCTGGAGCAGCCTGGGGAGGACTGTTCCCTGTGGGATGGATGGACTCACATGGAGAAGTTGATGGAGAACTGTCTGCTGTAGGAGGGACCCCACATTGGGGCAGGGGAAGGACTGTTCCAGATGAGCAGTGGGAAAAACATGAGATGAACTGACCATAACCCCCATTCCCTGTCTCCATGTCTGCTGGGGGGAAGGAGGTAGAGCTGGGAGGGAAGGGATGGGGGAAGGTGTTCTTAAGGTCTTATTTTATTTCTCATTATCCTGCTCTGATTCTGTTAGCAATAAATACAATTTATATCTCTAATTATAGTTTGTTGTCCCCTAACAGTATTTGATGAGTGATCTCCCTCTGTTCCTAACATCATATTTTGTCTTCCCTGTCCACCAGCTGTGGACGAAAGTGGTAGAGAGGCTTTGGTGTATGCCTGCCATCCAGCCAGGGTCAATCCATGACAGCAGACTCACTGTTCAGAAAATATTCTAAAATAGAATTAATCCACCCACTGAATATCTGGAAGCAGGCTTTCACTTTTATATCGAGTCAAATTATTAAGAGGGGTACAGCAGTGCTAAAAATCAAACTCCAAAACTCTGGCCAGGAAAGCAAAACAAGTTCTATTATATACCTTTTTATTACACTGTACATTTTTGACTTCTAAATGAAACATGTTGCAGGGTTTTTTTGCTTCTTGTTTACTTCTGTCTGGCAGTGGATCAATGTTTTGCACTGTCTTCAAAATCACTCTTTCCAAACTTTCAGAAGCTGGTATTTCAGCGTCACTAAAGCAGCACATGCAGGAAAACAAAACAAAATAAAATCTAGCTAAATATTAAATGTTCCAGAGTCAATCCATAAGCACATAGAAATAAACGCATGCAAGAAAGAAGAGAAACTAACACAAAATCCAAATAGTAAAGTGATTTATTCAACACATTTTGCAAACACAATAAAATAAAAATCTATCTCTGAAATGGTTTTATCAAATTCTACTCTCAAATGTAATCTCATTGTAGAATACGGTGAGGTCTGAGACTCAGCTGCTTCTTAAAGGACAGTTTTTGTAACAATCCACAAAAGTGAAATAAATGAAAAAATACTTGATTGTACATCTAATCTATAAATGGTGCATAAACGACTAAATTTCTACTTTCCTTCATTTTCACATTTCATAATAAAACAAGTAAATGCACAATACATAATAACATTTTGTTTAATTGAACTTTATTTGTAATGTTGACTCAAACTCAGAAAACACACTTCAGTGAAAGGTCTATTTAGTACCCTTTCGGTGTGTTTCAAATTCTGTAAACTTGCTAATGCTTTCACTGAGACTGCCAGCCATGCAGAGAATCTGGACCTGAAACTTTAAATTCTCTTAGAATTTTTCCTTAAAATTGCACTCAATGTGCTCTTAACTTCCAGTTTTTCACTGTCTTACCCCACATTACCATTTGCTTTCTTATATTTAGGGAAGTCTACCTTAAGACATAAAATCTTGGATAAAGCCTTTTCTGTAACATCAGTGGCTATTTATCATCATTTGTGTGAGCAGATTTTTAAAGGAATCCCTTGACAGAAGGCTATTTTGATTTGTTACTTTCTAAACCAAGATATTTAAAACAGCATAACTGAGTTCAAATTAAGTTACACCATCACAAAAATCAATGATTTAGAGATGCATTCTACTTAACCAGAGAAAAGGCCTCAGATGGATGAGAACAGTTTACACATAAACATGTTTATACTTTTCAAAACCTGTCCTGACACATTGGTATGTCTTATTGACTGATGAGAACAGAAATCAATGCAATGGTTTAAAGGTGSTGCAGTACCACTGAGATATTTCTAACTACATACACATTTCCCTCACCTGCTTTTAAGAAATGTTCTATTTAGAAAATGGAAGGCCTGCATTTAGAAATTCAGAGACAGCTACTAGTGATAAAGAGTGGTATTTATTAATAAGCTAAGAGGGAACTAAATGAAGATACTTCCCTAACTTGTTCAGAATGACATTTTGAAACTTCGCTTTTAAAAATGTTCACAACTCTACAAGAAGAATTCCCTAACCCAATATTTGTACAATTATCAAAAGTAGTATTTATGGCTAGCCATGACAAGTGAAGCTATGCAATTACTTTCCATTTCAAACTTAAAATGGAATGACAATGTACTTGCTCAATTTTGTTCTTAAAGAGAACATAGCAAATTAGATAAACTAATTACAACATGCATACATATTTCCATTAAGTGGAAGAACCATGTTTGTTTTCTATTAAAACCAGATCTGAAATATTTAATTGTACAAACAAGCTTTACATTACAGATACTGACAAATTACATACTTCTTAATTTGTTTTCTCTCTTGAGATACTGTGTTCAGGAACCCCCTATTTTGCATAGGGAGAAGCAGCAGAAAGGCTTCATTTGCCACTATTGATTTGCTCCATATGACACATAAAAGCAGTGTGAAGCCCATGAAGAYAATTCCATGTTTTTTCCTACATTTCCTGTATTTTGGATACATATGCTTGAGAAATTTCTTTGCTTGTCTCTTACAGAAAAGTCCTGAAAGACAGGGTGTTATACCCATTCACCTAGTGGCAGACTGCTGCCTCCTCAAGTATAGAGGGACATAAAAAGGAGAAGAAAAAATTATTAATGTTTATCAAACTTGCCAGTGGAATTTTCTAAGAGCCTTTCGATTCATGACTGGGACTGTAYGTGGTAACCATTACCTTTAAAGAACTGATTTTTAACCATCATTCAATTAAAGTTAGTACAATGACTGCATAAAACATACATGAAATAATTAGTGTGGATGGTTCTTAATTTAAAGGATGTTAAACAGCTTGTAGACATCTGCTAGCAAGCTGAAATGGGTCATTCAAAATTTATCTAACTAAATTAAGGGGAAAAAATGTTTCTCCTCCCGGGTCGGCATGTCACAAGATAACTAAACCGACTTAGTAGGCTTGCCTGGGAATCCTTAGCTGTCAGTGGTGAATATGCAAAGGGCCAGCAAATTAAATCAACCTGCCAAACTGTCAATTTCAAGCCTCATGACTGCATGAAAATAGCATCACTGGAAGAAATCAAGCATTGCCTTCTTTTGGGTTTCCTGGCACCTATTCAAATACTCATGCAGTTGTGGCTAATTTCGCATGCAAATTTCAGTCAATAAGCTCAGAACAAGACCTCCCAAGATATTTCAAAGGATCTGACAGTATTTTTTTTGAATACCAAATCAACAGTAGTTGAAATTCAATCTCCATTTGCTAGTGCTTTACATATGCACAGTGTCCCCTCTACAGGGCTAAGTTAATGAGAGCCGTACCTGCTTTCACTCACATCCTCCCAGCCGTCCTTACTGAAGTTCTCAAATACATTACTCATAACCTTGATGGACTGTTTGAGAAAAGCTCCATGATGTCCCAAAGAGCTCTTTTTCTTGGCTGTTTTTAATTTAACCTTGGTGCCTGTTATCTTGCAATTACATTGCCCAGAGATTGCCACTGCTTTGGCTTTATCCAGCAAACACTTCAGCTCCTGCACTTGACTCAGCAAATCTTCACTTTCATTTCTCAACCTGTTAGCTTCTGTCACTTGCCTCTTCAAAGAGGCAGCTTCTTTTTCCTTCTCATCAATCACTAACTGAAGTTCTATTTTTTCTTTCTTTATTTCACAAATCCTCTTAAGTAGTGTTTCCAGATCTCTTTCTCTTGTGTCTGCATCTTCGTTTTGTACTTGTAAAGATTCTTTCAAATAAATTTTCTCATTCAGTAAGTCTTTATTTACTYCTTTCTGTTTCTTTAATTCCCCTTCAGTATCTTTGAATCTTCTTCCTAGTTGTTGTACCTAACAAAAGCAATTTTATCATACACAATATTTCAGCTTGTCCTTCAAAAATACCAAACTATATTTTCAAAAATTTATTATATGACAATATTACATGAAGAGCAAGGGCAAAAGCAATCTATAGTCTTTAATCTAAAATAATTCTAATGTAGTGCAGATGAAAACATTTAGCTGCAATAATACAGCTGTTGAACAAAGGGCAGATGGTAAAGGAAGTTAAAATTCCACGCAAAGTGACACAGAAGTTTAAGCATGCTCTGCTAATGAATCTTCTGATGCATCTTGAGCTCATTACTGATTTGGTTATACACACTAATTGAATTWAAAAAAAAATTCAGAAGGATTACTACTTAGAAATATGGACAATTTTGCACTAACTAYCTAAATCAACAAGTTCTTTCAAGTGCCATAAATACAGGAATAAAATATTCTGATCTTTCAAAAAAACCACAGACAATCCTAGCAAGTTATTTCAGAAACTTGGTACCTAAAAAATATGGAAGCTAGTATGTGTTTTCTATTCACAGAAAGGGAAAATCTATCATGTTTCAATTAAGAGAATTTAATTTTACAAGTTTCTCATATAAATTTTGAAGAAGTATTCCCCCTATGTATGATGCATATGCTTGAATTGCAAAATCCTTTGAGGTTTACTCATAGTCAAGTCCATTAACAATAAGCCAATTCCCCATGAAGTTCTGAAATATCCACATAAAGCAGAATTTCCAAAAATAAAGGGAAATTTTAATTTTAGCAGATACGAAAATATTATTTTGTCTATGAGATTTCCCCAGAAGCTTGAAAAGGGCATCAGAGCAAGCTTTGTGCTCAGTAATCACTTATTTCACATACTTCAAGAAATATTTTTGGCTGATTTTGTACAAGTACAATCCCCTCTCTTTCACTAAGGGAAGTGTCTGAGGTTCTAGATTTCTCTGTAGGTGGTTGGGAAACACTTTTTAAAGGAGCTATCACAGCATGYGTATAGCTAATTTGAACTCCTAACCTTGTACTATATTGCCCAGTTCCCCTCATTTTGTAGCAATTCAAAATTTCAAAACTATCTCTGTCACTGAAAATATTGAAACCATACTATTTCTCTAAGTTTTTACTTTTAAGTTTTACAAGGACTTAAATAATTATTATTTTAAATTATTTTAAAATTTATGGAACGTTTTGCAAGGTGGGTACTGCAGATGTCACTCAGATAAATGAGRGCCCTTGATGTTCAGAATGAATTAGGACAAGAGCTAATCAAATTCATATGCATTTGTGAATTTGATACTGAATTTGTGAGTTAGATAGCAAATCTTTAATATGAAGAGACAATGTCTTATGACTGCATAAACTTATTGTGTGAAATTAGAAATAAAAGTGATTTTTTTCAAATTCTTCGGTCAAAGAAAGGATTATGATTAAAAGCATTTGCACTTTCCACCCCAATGACAATGTGTTAGACMAATACAATTTCTTCAATCACCTTCCCAAACTGAGATTCTGCTCCTATTTTATCAGTTCTTTAAAGCAACCTTTTGCACTCAGTAGCACTTAAAGTCATRTATGACAGCTGGAAGGAAATAAACAATGAATAGCTTCTACACCTATCCCTAAGGTACCATAATAACTCTGTATATCCATAGAGATAAAAATTATGTAGTACCTGGCAAACAAAATTATAGTTCTGAAATATAGATGATAAGCAAGCATAAACTATGTGACATTTCAGATGGTAGCATTCATATTATTTCAATTACTCACTCTACCTTAAGATAAATGAATGTGAGCACTTCCTATTCTGTGTGTTATTATTTTAACATGATGTTTGTCATTCAGTAATAACGAGATGACAGCCTTCATTGCCTGACCATATGGCAAGTGTTCCAAGTATATGCAATCACATCATCTGCTGTAAATTACCATACTTCCTACAAGTTAATTCACAGATAAAAAATAAATAGACATACCTGAAATGACATTCAAAGTTATAGATTTGTGTTTATTCAATTTAAGCATGCTTTTAAAGATTTATAAGTAATTAAACAAATAGTTTTGCAAAATGACAAACAAAAASCATGATACTGTTTGAAGGATGCCTTTTCTTTGCAAGCAAACAAAACATATGGTAAAATACGAGAGAGCCCTCTTAAGTGAACACCTGTTAACGTACTAAACTACTTGTGTATATTACAAATATCAATACAAATAGCAACTAGTTAAGAACATCTCGTTACTGTAAGAGGCAAAATACGCAGAATGCTTAGCAGTAAAGATAAAATACTTATGATATTTGTTAAGCTAAAGAACGCTATATGCTCACAGTACTATGTTGTAAAAAAAATGATAGACCCACACATGTAGAAAATATTTGTATATGTAACATTGTGCCAAAATTKAAACACAACAAAAGGTTGATTTATCACCTTTATGCATCAATTCTATTCTGTAGCAAGAGGTCTATGGAGATTAACATCTGAAATCATCTAAACATAAATACCCAGCAAAATAATGAACGTTTCCAAACTTAAGGGGCAAATTGCTATGTGTATGTTACTTCCAATTTAAATAATTTTCAAACTTTTAACATGATACCCCTAAACACTCTTCTCATTTTCTCTGACATTACCCATCTTTATCTTACATGACACATTCACAGCTATTTCTATAGAATTTCTGAATAAAATTCAAGAAAGCCACATTTCTAAATTATGAAGGAAAATGATGGCTTAAATTCATGAGTACTGACATACATACATATCTAGAGATATATGTATATGATTCTTATATTTAAATTTAGATCTGTTTGTTGGGGTTGGTATCTTACCTTCTGCAACATCTCATGTGAAACTTCTCTCTTATACCTCCTTGGAGGATTACTCTTGACCCCATCATCTTCACTGAGTTTAAGAAGCGGCTCTATCAGAAAATAAATAACATATCTCTATCATATAATAAATAAAATACATTATGACACAATATTTCACTAAAACAATCCCTAGACATTTTAAGAAAAGGCATTCTTCTGTAATTATTTATAATGTGGTCTATTTTCTTGACAAGCCTTTTGGTCAGTTTCTAAAGTGACCTCTTTTCAAAGTGTTCTATCACATAATTATAAATCTCTGTAGCATCACAGTATGTTTTTTTTCAGAGTACAAGCTTTTCAAAGGTACAATAGATCTGCAGGTTAAAGACACAGTACTTTCATTCCAATTTTTATTCTTTTACAGACTATTCCCTCTATGCCTTAAAAGTAGAATTCATTGCCTTTTTATCTACACAGTCACTATCAGTTTTGTTCTCTAGGTCTTGTCCCCTGCTAGGAGGATCAGAGTGATTGGTGAACAAAGCAAACAGTAACTGAATTAGGATGGATGAAAACTTTAAACCCTGGTTTTTGTTAAGTTAAAGATCACGTACTTCACTAGATAAATCACTCAAATCACTCAACTGAAATACTGTAAAATCATAACAATTAGGAATTGATCCAACTAATAAGAGCCAACATCAATGTAAGCATCACTGTCAGAGACAGCTATACACCTTAGATACTAAAAATCCCAAGTTAAAAATTAGACCTATTCCTAGAGAAAAATGCGAAAAAAAAGGTTTAGAAGTACCAGGTTAGAAGGTACTAAAAAAAGCTTTAGAAGTAAAATCAGAAGCAAACCATATTCTGTTTAAATTTTAGTCAAGAGTTTAGCATTCACAAATTGCCCACTGCTCACAGAAATGAGTAATTACACACCCCAGAAGGATTTTGTCTTAGAATATGAAATATTGCATTAYAGAACAAAAAAAATCCTAATACTGTAAAACCACCACAATATTAGTATTTAATTTTTGGTCCTTCTTACCCCCAAACTRACTTATAAAATTAATCTTAGGGGATAAATATCTGTGCTACATGGTGGAGGTCTGCTTTAGAAGTAACATTTCAAACTATAAGCAGACACTGTAGGTCACTTAAAAACTTTTGATTTACAAACAAAGCAAGTGTAGAAGAAAACAGTGTTACTCTCTGTAGATTCCCAATCCTCTTGATATAAACAGTGACTAACAAGTTTGTTAGAGTGAATTAGACCTTTCTTTTGTCTTTGGAACATGTCATGGCCAATTAATACTTCTGTATTCATGAAATAAATGGAACACTATTCTAAAGATAATAAAAGCTGAAAAAGGTAAAACTATGCATCTGGGGAATATGTACCTTTACCTTGATATTAATATGTTAGTTCCCATGTTACTTCAGACTACAGTCCCCCAGCACAGTGGTACTGCATACATTTAGAACATTCTTTAAGTAACACACAAAGATAATATGAACATGCTTTTCATCTTTTTCTAAATATTCACTCATTTGAATGCCAGTTGTAGCTTTTATATCAGCATTTACTGCACTCCACTGAAAGAAAAATGATTTCCCATAGTCAAAGAAACTGATCAAAGCACACAAGGTGTTATGTTTATTATGTGGATGTATTAAAATGCAATTTAAAACTCTATAAATAAACATATTATATGCAGATAATAAATGCAAAATGGATAGAAAAAAATATACATGTTCAGTATTATAAAAGAAGACACAAGCAACATAAACAGAAGTATAGACAAAGGTCACTAAAATATAATCCTTTCTTTTGAGCAGAATGGCCCATTCAAGCCCCTTCTCCCTTCCTCCCTTCTAACTGTTATGCAATTGTTCATAGGAATTGGTTAGGGAGGCAGTAAAACAGCATTGCCTATACCTAACTGTCTAGGATAGCAGAAAGATACATCGTATCAGCCTACTCAGCAACACGTGCTTTACCTGTCATACTTCTACATGAAAAAAATAAYATCTTCTTCCTCAAGGAATAGACCCACAAGTCATAAACCCCACTATCTCCAGTCATCAAATTACTATGGTCTTACATAAGCACACTTAAACATCCCACTGAGAAAACATAGTTAACTGTCAGCTTCAGAACATAGAACTTAACTCCTAATTAATAGTTACCAAATCTGATGATGAGCTAGTTCAACACTGCTGCCAAAATCATACTTGAACTACAAAACTGTAGTTAATGATTAGTATGTGCAGAAGGCTTTCTTATACAAAGAAAAAAACACCCATTTARAAAATCGATAGAGCAGTGCAATAGTCACTTACAAAGAACCTACATAAACCATCAAAGGAATGCCATTTTTGCCTGTAGCACACACCAGGTGAAGGATTTCCCTGACAGACAAAAGGTGCCATAGAGCACAAAGTCATTGTGTTACCGACTCCAGTGGTAGCCACCCCGAYTACTGGGTGGAAAGAAACTTGCAGTGGGAAACACCGATGGTGAAGACCAGAAGGAAATGCCACTCTTATGTATGAGCTGAGGACACAGTAGATTAAGGAGTCTCATAACGGAAGAAGCCTTCAAACTGCCTTCTTAAAGAAACAGCAGGCCCATGGTTTACTAGTTTGTTAAGCAGGCATTTACTTTTTTCTTGAATAGGATTTGATGGATCCATTGTCCTGCTTTTGGAGGAAATGGTGTGACTACCTGCCAACACATTCTTTACCTTCTTGAACAAATAATGACATGAATAACATGAACAGTGAATTTGGATTTGATGACAACTTGAAAGTAATTGGACAATGGACTAAGAATGGAAAGAAATTGGAAATGGCACAAACAGAACTATGTTTTCCCTTGAACCACTTCATCTTTGACCGATAGGATTGGAAAAATTATATGGGAGAACAACAAAACTATCCATTACTTCTTCCTGACAAATACAACTGATATCCAATAAAGTAAGATGATTTTAATACAGGAAAACTCAGTCTCTTTTTACAGAATGCATCCCTTGATATTAGAATGCCTGATGAAAACAGGTATCTGCTAAGGTGAAAGTGAATTCCAACCTTATTGATAAACTGAGGAAATTGATATCAGGTTTCCCTTTAGAAAAGAAAACATATGAATATTATGAACGAAGTGTATTTAGACCATAACAAGTTTGGACTCTCAGAAAATTATTGATAACAGACATGAGGTTGTATTTTAATTTAGCAAGAAAGCATYCAATACCCATTTTAAGGCAGAGAATATATGCATCTTCTTAGTACATGAGAAAGGAATTATAACATATGCTCATTTATGCTCTAAGATGGACATCGAGATTCAGTCATTATGTGCAACCTTCTGAAAACCTAAAACAATACACGTGTCACCATACTGCAATTCACTTTCAGGTGAAGGAGAAGAGTAAGGAAATTACTTTTCATAGACCTCATGAGCAACTGTTTTTTACACTTCAACTGGTAAAAGTTCAGAAACGGCTAGAATCATCTCAGTCTTCTGTGATAATAGAGATGTTTTGCTTAACACATATCTTTGGGCTTGAGTCTTATCAGATGTTTCCTGTTCATTTAAGTGATATCCACAACAATGCAGACTGGAAAAGGTAAATAAAATTTGCCTAAAATACTAGTAGTTTAAAACTTTCTCATAGTCCCAATAAAAGAATAGACAATCATTATACTAATTAACAAATCAGAAGAGTGCACCCACCCATAAACCTTTAAAAGAGGGTATGTTACCCTCAAAAGCTAATGTAAAAAGAAGGAATAATTTACTAACTGTTAAAGCACGAAACATGTCAAGAACTGGCAGTTTTGGAGATCTGACTGTTTTTTGGAAAAGCCTGGATATTGCTCAGTATTAACTCCTCACCACTGGTTGCTCCCCTTCTCTCTGTGCAAAGACTRATTGATTAAGAAAAAACAAGTGATTTTTAAAGTCAGTATTTAAACATTCAGTTCTGTGGCTATGAACATAACACATAAGAAATAGTATAAAAAAGGGTAACTTTCAGTTTTCAGCACCTTGATGTTTCCACTTAAAGACAGAATTTTAAATAAAGGAAAAACAACCTCACATAAATAATTTGTATTCCTATAGACTACTGCATTGGGTTTGATTGGCCAGGTTTTGGTAGTGGGAGGGCCGAGGGGAGTGGCTTCTGTGAGAAGCTGCCAGAAGCTTATTCCATGTACAGCAAAGTAAATTCCTGGTGTCCATCCTCCAACATGGAGATTCTATTGGTCAAGTCTGAACCAATTAAACTTGAAGTAATACAATAACATATTTAAGAGCAATAAAAGTGATAGTGCAGATGTAATTATGGTCAGAGAAGAGCAGAGCGAGAATATGTGACAGGAACAACCCTGCAGACACCAGGGTCAATGCAGGAAGGACAGGAGGTGCTCCAGGWGCTGGAGCAGAGATCCCCCTGCAGCCCGAGGTGCAGCCCGTGGTGCAGCAGCTGTGCCCCTGCAGYCCATGCAGGTCCATGGGGATGCAGAGATCCCCCTGCAGCCCCTGCAGGAGCCCCACACGGAGCAGGAGGATGCCTGAGAGGAGGCTGTGAACCCATGGCAGGCCCGTGCTGGAGCAGCTCCTGGCAGGGACCTGCAGATCTGTGCAGAGAGGAGCCCACGCTGGGCAGGGATCCTGGAAGGACTTGTGACTCCATGACAGGACCCACGCTGGAGCAGCCTGTCCTTGAAGGACTGCACCCCATGGAAGAGTGACCCATGCTGGAGCAGCCTGGGGAGGACTGTTCCCTGTGGGATGGATGGACTCACATGGAGAAGTTGATGGAGAACTGTCTGCTGTGGGAGGGACCCCACACTGGTGCAGGGGAAGGACTGTTCYAGATGAGCAGTGGGARAAACATGAGATGAACTGACCATAACCCCCATTCCCTGTCTCCATGTCTGCTGGGGGGAAGGAGGTAGAGCTGGGAAGTAGGGAGGGGTGGGAGGAAAGTGTTTTTAATAATTGTTTTTACTTCTCATTACTCTTTGACTTTTTAGCAATAAATTCAATTAATAACCCCAAGCTGAGTCTGTTTTGCCCCTGACACTATTTGATGAGTGATCTCTCTCAAGCCACAAACCCTTCATTATATTTTCTCTCCCCTGTCCAGCTGTGGAGGAAAGTGATAGAGAGGCTTTGGTGGATGCCTGGCATCCAGTCAGGGCCAACCCACTAATATTACTACATATAATACTATACATTCCCTTTTTTGCTGTAAGCATAATTAAAATTGTGTATTGTGAACTTACTCAGAGATTGGTGTACTTTCATCTGATCCAATTCCTCTTCAAGATTCAGTCTACAAAAGAGGAAATAAAAATATAGGAACAATCACAGAGATGCCACTAAAATAATTAAAATATTAAACCAAGCACCTACCAACATAGCACTAGGAATAAAGTTGTCAATACCCAGGAATTAGTTCCAATTTGAGAACACATTGCATTACTTTGAACATAAGGAGTCCTTTGTACAACAACTTTTTAAAATGTGTAAATCATCTGAATTTCCAAAATTCAGACACAATGCTGATTGTAACATACACAAAGAAGATTCAGCTGATATTTTTTAGATAAGAAAATGCCTGAGATGAAAAGCAGACCAGTAGGAGGTAGAATCCTTTTAAGAGGTGAATAAATACTCATCTCAGGGGAAACCACCAGCCAAATTTGTGCAGGTATGTCTTACAATATAACAACTATTTGAGAAACTCATTTACAGAATTATTYCTCCCCTCTTCCAGGGGAAAATCGACTGCTGTATTACTACCATAGTTTATTCTGTAATATCAACCAGATAATGTCTGCACAACAAATTGAACTACTCKTTTTTCAATCTTTTTTTTATTAATCAAATAAAATTACATACAAATAAAGTTGCCAGGATACAAATGTTTAAGTTTCAAAGTCAAACTAGGAAATGCTAGAGTGAAAGACATAAATTTAAATTGTTTATTTATACTTGTGCTTTCTGACAAATTATCTAACTATATARTTGTATACTATTTCAGCAATAAAATGCCCACCTGTTTCAGCCAAAGATCATACAGCATACAGAACAGAGCACAATAATATGTAGCTTTTGCTTAAAATATAAACACATATGCACAAATTCATATTATTCTAGCTCTGTTGTGGAAGTCAGACTGCTAGTTTTCTCACTTATTTCTGTTGTACCCTGAACAGCAGCACCTGTCACACACGAAATGTTTGYTTTACCCTACCTGGCCCTCTGAAATAAATCACAAAAAAGTTCTGGCCAAAATGTTTGCTAACTTAAGGAGAGGACTTAAACAAGTCTTGGTATACACAGTATATTAAARCACATTATATGTTAAATGTGCCTCTGACTCAGCAGTAAAACATGAATTATAAAGAAAATAATAAACATGAAAAGTTAAAGTAACTTGCTTTGTAGGACACATAAGAATCGAGCTATTTCTGGGATCACTCATCTGCCTTCACAGGTTGACTTCCTTGCTGTTCTTTCATCCTCCAGAACTTAGTCATCATCAATTCCTGTTATACAGACTACAGTGGCTTTTGTCTCCACAGTCTGAACTTTTCACAGCATGTTAGAGTTTTGCAAAATATYACTAAATAGCAAAATATTTCCTTGAAAAAACTTTGTTTATGTAATTAAAGATTGAATTCAACATGACATGCYTCCTGCTTGGGCCTCTATCATCTGAACAAGTTACTTTTCAACATCAGGAACATTATTTGAATGCATACGCTTATGAACATATACACTGCTTCTCTACACACCAACTGACAAGCATACAATGATGATTGTGTAAGATTTTTAAGAGTAAACTTTAACACATGTGGTTTTTCTTTATGCTAATGAAGGACATGCAGAAGTTAACTATATGAAAAATTAATTATATGAAATAAGTAAAGCGGTAAGTTTATAGTCACAATAACTGAAGTGCCTTCAAGTAAATTCATTTGTCTGTGAAATGATCTCCAACTGAAGTTATGATATATCTGAAATGGAAAAATTTTAGTCAAGTCCAAACAAGAAATTACAGTATGAAATACAAGATTCAACCCATACAGTTGGGTTGTACTGGCTTGCATCTGAGTTGTTGGAAATGGTCAGCTGAGATAGCCCAGTGCTAGGTCCAGCCATTACCATTACCAGTACTATGACTCCAACACAAGTGAAAGCAGATACTACCCAGGAAAGACTAAAGTTTAACAGTTTCTGCAGTCTGATTCTAATTTTTCACCCCAGAAGTGGTAGATAAGCRCTAGTCTTTGTTTCTTCTGCTTTAACTGGTTTCTGGTTGCTAAAAGGACCTTTCCTGCAATCCCATGCAATATAATTTCTTTATAACCTTTTATGTGGAGCCTTGTCAAAGGCAGTTGAAAAATACAGATCGGATTACTGTTACCATACAGTTACTGTAACCCCTCCACAATTCCAGCAGGTTAATGAAGCAGGATATCCCTTTATATGAGCCACATTAATGCTTCCCCAACAACACTGTTTTGATCTGTTCTAGGTGATATCTCTCTCTCCTGCGCTGTTTGTTGGGTGTTTGGGAGTTGAGTTTTTAAAAAATTTTCTCTCTTCCACCCTCTTTTTCTTAAAGACCAGCTGCCACCTTCTAAGCAGGTAAGCAGGCAGGCTCACTGGTCTGCAGCTCCCTCTGGAGCCCATTCTGTAGTTCTGGGAGCTACAGTGACAACCTGCAAGTCCACTGGCACAGTAGCTGTTAACAAAGAGGTAACAGTCATTTCATACTTCATTTTCTTCACATYTTGGTGTGTGAAGAATATAAATTCTAATATACTTACAAGTGACTGATATACTTGATGTCATAATTGCTGTACAGTTACTTCAAAAAGTGCAACACTTTGATCTGTCTGCTACAAAAACACGCAAGTTTGTTGGTATCTTCTAATCACTTTTAGCACAGAAACATACAATCAGAGCATGGTTTAGTTTAAAAGGCATCTTAAAGATCATCTAATATCAAAAACTGACCAAGCAAAAGAATGTTTTTTTATGGCCTTGTAAACCCAGTGTATAACTTTACACTGTTATCATTAAGCAAACATATGAATTTCCTTCTTGTCTTCTTTTTCTATTTAAGCAAAACTATTTGTCTTTACTATTTAAGCAAGACTTTACCGTTCTAGCCTTAGAATCTTTGAAAATCATGCTTCAGACACCTTTTTAAGTTTCTCAACTTCCCTCTTGCATTGGTCCTGCCTCTATTTATTGGTCCTAACTGTTTCTCATGCAAGCTCAAGTTTCAAATGCTAT